AATTACAACATATTTTTTTCACAATAATTATTATTATTCCTTTTATTATAAAAAAAAAAAAGATGTGGCTGGTCCATAAATTATTTTGACCTACTAATAAAAATGTACTAATGCTAAAGTACATGCATATTATATAATTTAATTTTTATTACCGCAATACTAACTGAGTACTTATTCAAACTAATAACCAAAAAAAAAAAACAAGAAAAAAATCTAGAAAATATTTTAAATGAGTCATTCCAAGGGGATTTTTTTTTTTCTCGAAATTTATACTCAAAATAATATTAACTTTTAACTTTGCATTTCAAAATAAATTTAAAAAAAAAAATTTACATTAATTTTTGTTTTTTTTTTCTCTCTAATTCTATAAAAAATTTATGCTTCAACTTTATTTTGCGAATATTTTAATATCATCAGTTTTAACCACATAAGACATGCACTAATATAAAAATTTATTAATGTTCTGGTGTGCTGTAAAAATAAAATTGCAGACACATCCATCTTCCCTTCTAGACTATATAGATTAGAATTTAATAATATTTAAGAGTTATAAAATTAAATGAATGCATATATGTATATATATATGTAGGTAATACAGTTTTTTTTATATTATTTGCATAAATACGCGGTATGGCAGTATTAATGCAATATAATAAAATTATATACATACGTAGAATACGTCATAATATAACGTACTGCATAAATATTTTAATGAAAATACGTAAATTCAAATATCCCCTATATTTTACAATTTTCGTATTTATTTGAATATTTTATTATATTTCATTTTTTTTTTTTTTGCAAATTTAAATTCACAAGAGTATACATACATACAAATTGTCCATAATATAAAAATGAATGAGTAATATATGATTTGAACGAAGTACGATGCGACCCAAAATATTTGGATAAAATAAAAAAACGAAAATACATGAAGTTGGGACAAATTAATGGTTTGTAAGGTAGCATTTTTCCTTTAAACAAGTAAAAATATTATTTTCGAAAGCAATCTACTATGTCATTTAAATTTCTTGCACTAATTTACTAAAATATGTGAAAATATTGCATAAATTTAGGATGATCGTAAAAAAATTATTGAATCGAACTGAATGGCCAAGTTATTATGAGTTAAGATAAATAATAATTATACTTTTCGATGGCATGGAATTTCAACTATTTTATTTTATATTGTAGAATTTTGGAAAACCTTGCAGTTGTGGAATTATAATGCATTGAAAATTTCAATTTTACAAATTTCGTGTAGCTAAAAATATAACTTGGAAGCGGAAGGAGGTGACAAAAAAAGGCTGTCTATTTTAAAGGGTGTAGAAGTTTTGTAAACAGGCAACAGACAATCAAACGGCCACACAGACGGACAGACTGAGCAAAACTAACAGGCATTTTTTTCCCATTTTCTCTTTTTGGAGTACTAACAAGAAGAAAATAATTTTATATACTTTTTCTATGTACATGTATATTATGTACAAAGTTTAAATTTAGAGTAAATAATTTAGATTAAATTTTACGTTATTTTTGTTCATATACATTTTGTTATATACTATTATGTATAGTATATAAATTTCGTCAAATTTTCATATGTGTATACATACAAATTTCCTAACGTATTTCATGTATAATTATTTTAAAAATTTAAAAGATATGGTCGTCTCATACATGCCTTTCATTAGAAAGCCTACACGAGTCTATTTATTTAAAAATGTACACATAAAATTAAATTGGAATTTGAGATGGAAAATTATAAGTATTTTGTTATACTTTTGTTATTTTTTTGTTTTTTTGCTTTTAATTTTTTCAATTTATTATGCTTGGTGGTCGAATTTAATAACTATTTTAATAAATAAAGATCTGTTGAGAGAAACACTTGACATGTTTAATTTTTAATTGTAAATGATTTTGAGTCGAAAAGCAAAAAAAATAACCATATGAAATTTAAATATTTTATGCAACATGGAGTTTATATACATAGTTTGTACCTTTATATGTATATATATATATATATATATATGTATATACATTTTATACATTATGTAGAGATCTAATATTTTCTTAGGCCTTTTAGTCAAAATAATTTTTTATATGTTAAATATAATATTGTAGATATTGTTGTATGCTTGGATAGAATAAATTTAGAAAATTTAATCTCTGCGTACAGCCGTAAATTAAAAACAAAATTTGTTTTCTTGACATATTTAATGTGCAATTGTTATAATATGCTGTGAGAAGATTTTTTTAATTAAATTAAGTGCTTAAAATTATTTCAAATATAATATGTTTGTACACTTTTCAAAAAATAGTTTTGTTATTGTTACTAAGTTCGAAATTTAAATAATATTAATTTTTTATACGGATGCGATAATATTATATTAGATTTTGATTAATGAATGATGGCAGAACACAACATCTTTAACAGAAAGCGGGAAGAATAAAAGGCGGACTGGGGAACAAATAATTATTAATTTTAATATTTTTGTAATTTGTAAATAATATGTCGCAAGTTTAATGTTTGGAATTTATTAATTGCATTCTAACGTCCCTAAAAAGATTCAATATGATACTTAATAATTTTTGAAGAAAATTGAATTGTAAGAGTTAAAGCCAACTTGAATTTTAATCAAACAAATAAAGGATCTGATTTAATTCTCAAAATTGCAACACAATATTGTATACAGAGCAATTTTAACACCAATAAAAGCTGTGTACCTTGCTCAATATGCAATATTTACATTTTTTGTTAGTTTCTTACTTTCATTTTGAAAAAAGATAAAACTGTACAAAATTTTCTTCAATATCATTGAATAGCAATTTGTTCATTCCATTTAAGAAATTAAATTTTTTTACTTTGTCTATTATTATTATAGAAAAACATAGCTGACGTTTCGTTTTCTTCTTTTTTTTCTCTTGCAATATTTTAATTAAATAGCCTAATTAATTTTAAAACTAAAAATAAAGAAAAAACCATTTCTAGACGAGAAAACCGACCATATACTTTTTCTATAAAGCATACAAAAAAAATAAAAATAAAAGAAGATGAGAATTTTCTCTCTGTTGTTTTTCTCTACCTTAACCGCATTCTATTTAATAAGCGAGGTATTGTGATCACACCAAATTTAACATGTTAAACATTTTAAATGGAAAATCAATTTCTAGTGTTGGGAAGGAGGAAAATATTGTCTGTCTAAATATGTTGCTTTGTATATCAATTTCGGTTGAGCAATTTATTAGAAAATCGAAATTTTAAAGTGGTATTTGAAGTTGCTATATTGAGTTTTAACAGTTTTACATTTTGCATTATTCTCTAAGATACGAGGGTCACTATTTATATTTCGGGTCTAGCAATAAAAAACAAACATTTATCATTGGAAATGGTTTTATTGTTTTTCAAAATATTCCCCATGAAGATCAATACACTTTTGCATGCGCTGAAACCAATTTTCGTAGCACTTTTTCCACTCCGATTGAGACACCTCCAAAACATGGTTTTTGAACGCATCGACTGCTTCTTCAGGTGTTGAAAATCGTTGTCCACGCATTTTTTTTTTGATGTGAGGGAATAAGAAGAAGTCATTGGGTGCTAAATCAGGACTGTACGGCGGATGACCCATCAATTCGACATTTTGAGTGCTCAAATAGTCCATTGTTTCAGCTGATTTGTGAGAGCGTACTTTCAGTGTTCATTTATTGGCGTAATCCCGCAATTCAAAAAGTACCCTACACCGTCGATTATTTGCTGTTTAACTCATATATATATACATACATATATACATATATATATATATATTTTGAAAATTCATTAAAATGACAGACTTGTGTTGTATGGAAAATTTTTTTTTGCAAATTTTTACTTTACACAAAAGTTTTTTTGTTTTTTGCATTTTGTTTTTCACTTGTTTTAATTTTTCTCATTTTTCTCTTGGTCAGGATAGTTCATTAAAATAAAAATGTCCTGTGGGTATTTTTTTTTTCGTTGTTGGTTTTCTTGTAAAAGTTTTCAATTTTTGCCTTTTTTACTTTTTTTTGTTTTTTGAAAATTATTTAAAAGTTACGAGTTCTTACTTTAGTGTAATTTGTTGTAAAACATGTGATATTAATTTTTGTTTTTTTTTTCATGAAATATTAATTAAAGAATTTTTTTTCGAATGAAATAAATTAGTTTTTGAATAATAATAATAAAAACAACAAAAAAAAAAGGTAAAATGTTATGAAAATTAAAATCTTAATTAATTTCAATTTAAAATATTTTTTTTTTGCTAACCTTGAGGTTTTTAATAATGCAAAATACTTAAAAGTCCATTAAGTTGTGTGTTCTAAATATAAAGTGTGGGATTATAAAATAGTGTGAAATACATAGGGTATTATGCAAATTATAGAAGCAGTATACACTTTAACATTTTGTTTTTTTAATTTTTATTAAGACCTAAAACGGTTTTGAAATAATTACATTTTTTATGTAGGTGGAACCTATGAATATTTTGCGTGATGAATTTTTCATAATTTTGTTATAAAATTTAAGAGTGGTTCTGTGTGTATTTGTTTATTAATTTATGGAACCTTGTACAGAATTATAAAATTTCTATTATCTTATATATATATATATATAGAATTAAATTAATTAATATTACTAATTTTATTTTAGAACAAACTAAAAATAATATGGCCCTATCAAAATTAAACGGGAAAAATTTCGTAATAGTTTTTTGGACTCTATTTCAAAATTCAAATTTATTTTAAATTTTAAATTCACTTAATTTAGAACGCAGGTTTAAATCCATTTATCCTGATATTAGAAAATCAAGAACATTTTAAATAAAACCTCGTATATTTTAGAACTCAATACACAAAATTCAGAAAAACATAATAATAATATTAGTTATTTTCATAATTTAATATTGATTATTTTCATAATTTAACAAAATTACTATTAAAATTTGAAAAACAAATTATTAAAAGAATCTCAGAAATTAAAAAAAAATAAAACTTACCGAATTAACAGCAGCCATTGCAGTTCAACAATGAAGACAAGTAAGTCTGAAAATGAAAAATAATTAGATGGGAAAAGAAAAAAAAATATTATAGTAGTGAAAAATTAATAAAAAATTAAATTAAAATAATTTTAGTTATCGCTATAGAATTTTTAATTTCAGGAGCACAAGAATATATTTAATTCTTTATGGAAATTACAGAAAATAGATTCAGATATTAAGTGAAATATGAATGCATAAGACAAATACATTTTTTTTTGGAGGAAAATTAACGTGGTGTCTTGCAACAATTGCATAGACAGTAGCTGAAAGCAATAATACTTTATGACTCAAAGTCGTTCCTATAAATCTCAACAAAATTAATTAGATTAGTATAAAGCTCATGAAAAAATTTTGTCTATCTTGCCGGTATAAAATTGAATATTTCCTCTAAATTTTATAAACAATGCGGTAATAAAAATGTCTACAGCAATACTAAGTATTTAATCACAAAATTGAATTGAGTTTGAATTATAATTGTTAATTAAGTTCAAACTTAAAAAATCTTACTCTGCTTAATTCTTAATAACAAATTTATATTAAAGTCTTTAATATTATAGAAGACAAATTTAGTTTAATTTTCTTGAATACACAATTTAATTTTAAAATCCTTAAAGTCTTTGTTTATACACGCTTACTTTTTCCATAGGCTTCACAAGAAAAAATTTGTGTATGTGGTATATACCCACATACACAAATTTTTTTTCTTTAAATCTAAAATGTAAAATTGTGGTTGGTAAAAAATTCGATTTTTAGCTTTAAATCTAATAAAAAAGAAAAATTATAGAATACTCAGATTTTCTTAAACCACCAATTTTTACATAAAAAAAAATCATTTTTTTTTTAATTTAATCCACCATTAAACATATGGTGTATTTTCTAACATTTTTTTTTCATTTATTTTTCATCTTAATTTCCATAAAATTGAATATAATTTGAATATAATCAATTTGTGAATACAAGGGGGCAAAAAAAAAACAATGAGAGACAAGAAAACAATAGAGAAATTAAAAGTATGGCACAAACAAAAGGATCAAAAATGATAAAGAATAAACAAATTGAACGCGTCTATAAAAAAAAGATTAATTTATGAATTTAAGAGGCAACTTTTAAGTTATAGGTATATTTTAGCCCTGTATACTGATTGATTGATTATAGGAATTAAAAATTGAAAATAAAATACTAGCTATGAAAGACCAGATTTTTTATTTGCAAAGAAGTAATTTTTTGTGGGATTATTGTAAAAATCTGATTCTGGTATGAACTCCAGTTGAACGCGATATACTGCCAAATTATTTAATTTTAAATTAACTATTGTTTCTCATTAATAAATTATTTTAGAAGCAACGCATATTGTCATAATTTCCAAAGGTATTAGAAGGTATTATGATCGGAAAAGGAAATTTGAATTCACAATTTGCATACAATACTTTTATTCTACATTATTATCAGTATGATCTATTGTGTAAAAGGCAAAGAGAGAAAAAAAAACAACAAAATAGAGGAAGGAGGCTAAAACCAAAATAATTAATTTTGGAGCATTATCAATAATTAAGCAAATTGTTTTCTCATAGAATAGAAATGAGCATGTTATAAAATAAGGAGAATACAAAATAAAGTAAGAAGAGTACAAACATACTAAGAGCATTATAGATAAAATAATACTTATACATTATTTTGTATAATATACAGTGCAATACAAAAAAAATTGTACAGAAAAGCAACAAATATTTTTATATATAATTAATATTTTTGACCAATTAGGAGAATATTGTTCACATTTAACACAGTTGCTGAACATTACAATATGAAAACATCCATCGAGAAAACGAAATCAGTGACTATATAAAAGGAACCAATTAGGTGCAAATTAGTAGTTAACAACAAAATGATAGGTCAATCACTTCAAATACCTCGGTGTCGATATTACTGATTCCCGACAAGTTGAAACAGAAGTTAGTTTGCAGACCGCTGGAGCGGCAACCATCTCCGGGAACTTACGTAATACAATAAGTCAATACAAAAAAAACTAGAATAGATACAAATAAAATAAAGTCCGAATTTACAGAACCTGCGTACGACCAATAATTATATATGCAGTAGAAACCAGGGGCGATACCGCGGAAACCTTGCGAGATGAAAGGGTGCAGATATGAGATCTGTTTACGAAACACAAGATCATGTTCAGACCAGTTGCATTTATATGAAAAACAGGCTAGTAGCCTAAAACACGAAGAATAAGAAGACCAATTAGAAACATGTAAAGCGAAAGTTTTCTTACATCTTTTGAATGTTTTCATTTAAGTGCCGAAAGTATTATTTAGTATTTTTAATGTATTGTGATTTGGAAAATCTAAACTAAACAAAAAAAACTAAAGATTTTCTGAAATATGTGTGTAATCCTAGGATGTGTAGAAGAAATTACAAGTTAACCTTACAATAACATTTTAAAAAAAATTTGTAATAAAGTGTCGACAGAAATTTCACCCATTTCTAAGACAGAGTAGGACAAACATTTAGTTACATAAATTGGAGTCAAAGTAAAAGATTCAAAAATTTAATAATAAAATTTGTAAGCAGATTGAAAAATCGCAAGTCAAATAAAGTCAAATTTTAGGTTGATAGGAGGAAAATATTGTCAGGACTCATTCAAATCGTTTATCTCTCATATAAAATAAAAACATTCAATTTTTTTGTAAATTTAAAACTCAAAATAATTTTTATACTGCTTTAATAAATTTAAATGCTGCTCTTATATCAAATATTATTCTTGTATATGACTGTGTTTATACAATAGCACAAAAAAAAACCAAAAAAAAACAGATAAGGAAACAAGATGAAAACAAACATGCTTTCTTTCATGGGAAAAATTCTATATAACAATTAATTCTATTGTGTTTCCGCCATATATGTTAAATATAATGAAATTTATACACAAACAAAATATATATATCTATATATATATATATAAATGTACGTATATATTTATACAATTCCACAATTCGCAATCAACATTTTTTGTTCAATATAATATGGTAACTGTAAGTATGAGTATTTGTTTTTTATATATATATATCTTGTATTAAATCAATATTTACGCAAACATCTACATACACAAATTCACTTACTATCACATTATACATAATATATAATCAATACTACTCCATATGTATATAATTTTACAAATAGAACAAAAAGCCTATCAAAACCTATATATACGTAACGGTATGGTATATATACCATTACCGTCATCGTCTGAATAGCATCATATATATCGGATATATAGTAAAAATATACAGTCATTATCATCGTGATCATTAATAATATATTGTTTTGAAAAGGATAATGATAAAATCGAAAAGAACAATAGAATTGATTGGAAATTAAAGAAAATTTATTAGGTGCTTTTCCGTGCTCTTTTCAATTTTCTTGTTTTTTTGCTTTTCATGATTTTCTGTTCTTTGTTCATCTTTTTTTGCATTTTATTCATTTTATTCATTAAGGATTGAGAGGAAAATATAAATCAATAAATTACTATGGCACATTTTTTTTTTCTTTCTTTTTTTGTTAATAATTTTATTATTATATTTTCCTTGTATATAGTATTGAGTATAAAAGGAAAATTCTAATTATTTAATGCAAATTATACACGATTGTGTAACTCTAAAAATTATTCATTTTTTTTCTCTGAATAATAAATTAAAAGAAAAATATCCTTTCATTATCTTATGTTTTCAATTTGTCAACTAAAATATTGTTATCTTGAAATTTAGTTTGGTGTTGTTTATATATAGTATGTGCTAGTATGCATATAGAAAATATTATGGAAAATTTTTTTATTAAAGTCGAGGGAAAGAATAATTTTGTGTTGGAAAAATAATTTTCTACTACTCTTTTGGAATAAATCAATGAAATCATCTTAATCAAAGTGGAAAACTAACATTGTCATTAAAATTTTGCATATTGTTCAATTAAAATGCATTGTAGTTAAAAACATTTCAATAATTTTCCAGAACTATTGGAAAATTGTAGAGATTTAAGTTAAAAAAAAAGTTTTGAAATCATCTCTAAGAATTTTTTCAATAATCTTTCCCTAAAAAACAAACTTAAATAACCCGAAATAATTCACAAAATACGGGATGGGCTTTTATATAATCACTTGTATTCTTACAGTATCATTAATTTCAATTGCGATTTTCTCACTGTATCACACTCAATTCTGAACGAAAATAAAACTAAAATTGAAAATTTTCAATAGAATTATTTCATAGAATCTTTATATTTGATTTGACTGTTTTCTCGAATTTCCGACTGCTTTTTAGCTTTGTTTGCGATTGTTATGCATTTGTATAAAAATTCATTAATTATTGCAAAATCAATGCAAATCTATTTCTATGGAATAAAAATTTTTTAATGATATTGAATGTTTTACATAATAATTGAAATTTTGGTTTTTTTTTAATTATAATTTCTTACAAGTATACTCTTTAATTACATTCACATTTCATTCACATTTTTGATGGAAAATTTAAGTGAAATGGAAATGTACGCAAACAGTACATAGCAAAATTTGGAAAATAAATTTTTCAGCATAATTAAAACTAAGTATAACTTTGCCGTGGTATTTAATAACAAAGAATGCATAATTGTAATTGCATAATATAACTGAGATTTTTTTGATTGAGATGAAAATACATTCAACTTTGAGGATTTAATCAGAAGCTTATTATGTACGAAGTTATATAAGGACCATGTCTCTTAAATGTAAGAAAAAGCTATACTTATTCAATAATTTGTTAAAAAACAATTATTTCCCTTTGAAAATTTCTGGATATAACAAATAAAAGTTGAAAGTTGAAATGCTCTCCGCAAAATTTAAAAATTTTTTATTTTACAATTTTAGTGTAGGCTATTGCCAAAGAAGAAAATGTCAAGAAAACTACTTAAGCTCTAAAAATTAAAACTGAGTGAGTGAAGTGTAACTAACTCCCAAATTGAGTATTGTGA